ATTTTGTTAAACGATCTATGAATCGCGCTGTCCATATTGTTGCTTGGGGGACGTTTCTATGTCAGGTTGGATATTTTTTTTTCCCAGTTATGAAACCTCATTTTATATTCAATCAACTAAGGCTCTGTTTGGCACAGCTTATTTAGGAGCTTATAGCTTATTTTAATTTACTAATAAGCTATAACCTCTGTTTGGTAATGTTCCCAAAATAAGCTAGTAGCTTAAAATAAGAGCTTATTTTGGAACGCTACTTTAGGTAGCGCTTCAAAATAAGCTAGGAGCTTCCTAACTTTATTTCCATCTTTGTCCTTATTATTTTAAAAAAATGACATCTTTTATCCTTCCCAATTAAAATTCTTTTCTCTCTCCTTTATCCGCAACTTTTATTATTATTATTATTATTATTATTATTATTATTATTATTATTATTATTATTATTATTATTATTATTATTATTATTATTATAATAATAATAATAATAATAATAATAATAATAATATTATTATTATTATTATTATTATTATTATTATTATTATTATCATCATCATCATTATTATTATTATTATTATTATTATTATTATTATTATTAGATTCACAACAATATTACTACTTCATTATGTGATGCTTGATCATGATTATGCTAATAGTTTTATTTCAAAATAATTGTTAACTTTTTTTAAAGACAAAATGTTAAATTTTAATATGTAAACAAACTAATTTAAATTTTATGAAGATGTTTTTTTTTTTTTTTTTTTTTTTTTGTCTTTTTACATTTATCTACTTACCAAAAAGTTAATTTTATCAAACACTTTCAAGCATAACAACTCTTCAGTTTTCAGTTCCCAGCTTATAGTTGTTAAGCTTTCAGCTCCTTTTCAGCTTTCAGCTAGGTTGCCAAACATAGCCATAGAGTCAAATCTATACTCATTTAAGATATATATATATATATATATATATATATATATATATATATATATATATATATATATAGGCGGGTTCAAGTGCGGCAGTGTCTTACGGTGCGGTTATTTCTTACAGTGCGGCAACACCAATAGTTCACCAAATATGCACCATCAACGTTAGGAAATACACCACACAAAACAGAGTAAACAGAGCTCTGCATCACCAAACACACACCATTAGGTGTGAGTAAAAACACCATACACTGTTGGAAATACACCATTGGGGGTGGTGAGTTATATGGTGTGTTTTTTTGAGTCTGTGGTGTATTTTGTGATGTTTTATTACATTTCATTGGGGTGTGTTTTTATTACACTGTTGGTGCATATTGTTAACACTATTGGTGTATTCTGGAATTTGACCGCACCGCCGCACCGTAAGACCCCGCCGCATATGAGCGCTCTTCTATATATATATATATATATATATATATATATTTGTGTGTGTGTGTGTGTGTGTGTCAGATAAAGACATTTGTTTCTATTTATCTTATTGTTAATCCTTTTTTTTTTTGTGATTTGCGTGAAAGAGATATGAAAAAGGCTGTGACACCCCGAAAATCCGACTCCTTAAGTAGGATTAATTGAGGAATTAATCTTAAAATACCTTGGTGAATTCCTTTCCAAAATCTTGAAATTTAATAGTCAAGGGACTAGAAGTTGACTAGTTCCTTAGTCAACCATGAGTACCTTTTGCTTTGTGCTTTGTACCTAGCCTTTTGTCTTCCTAGCCTTTTAGTAAGGGTAAACTTGTCCTTTCACACATGATTGGTGTTTAAGCTTGCCCTAGCAAGACACACTTCATTCATCTCCTTACTAGCCAAATCCTAAACTCTCTACCTTCTCTCTAAGAAAAGTTGGCTTATCCTCCAAGCTAAAAGAAGAACACCCCATCCTTGAAAAAATTCATCCCAAGATTCCACCTTTCTATCTTCCAACCTTATGAAATGGTAAGATCTAAAGTTATTTAGTGTTTTTAGTTAGCTTTAAGATGTCTGTATCTAAGTTTGGTGTTTTCTTGTGGTTTGGCTTGTGTAAGAAGGTTGTGAGGAAGAAGAGCTTCAAAGTAGGGCCTATGAGGGTTAGAGAAAAGAAGGTTTTGATCTTCAAAGGTAACCCATGCTATACAAAACCTATTTTCTACTTGCTATTTATGATTCTTGACTTCTATTGATGAATCTTGATGATTGTGAGTGATTTGATGCATGATCTTGTGATAATGCATGTTTAGAGCTTGTATCTAGGTTTCTTGAATGTTATTCTTTGATCTATTCTTGGGTTCAAGTCATTTCCTTGTTGTATGTGAGATTTGGGGTGTTTTGGACTTGAACTTGACCTTGGAGATGAATTTCCCCGAAGGAAAATTATTGGTGTCTCGGGTGTTCCCCGCGGGCGGATGTCCACCCGCCGCCCCGCCCATGGGTGGTGGCTTTGTACCCGGCGGGTAGAGCCACGGGTAGGGACCCACCCGTGGTTCCACCCGCGGGGTACAATAATTGTATATTGTCGGGTGTTGTTTTTCCCGTGGTTCCATCTTGTGGTATGTGATGTTTTGGACTCCCTTTGTTGGATTGTTGAGCTTTTGAGTGTCTTCTTGATGTTTCGTATGTCTAGAACGATGCTTTAGGAATCTATGATAGGATTTGGTGTCTTGAATCGTGCTTATGGTCCAACTTTGTGATTCGTTGGATTTATGTGAGTCTTGGAGGTTTGTTGGAACCGTTTTGGTTTACCCGTTTGATGTGCATGCTAGTTATGATGTCTTTGATACTAGTATGCGTAGTTTGTCAATTCTTGTTGAGGATTGGCAACTTGTGTTGCTAATCATGTTGTTGATTGGATTGAAGTCCATTGTTGTTGTTGAGTATCGTTTCATGTCTTTCATTGAAACCTTGAATGAATCCATTGATGTGATCTTGTACAAATGTTGTACTTTGTTGATTATTCTGTGGATTGTACTTTATTGATTGCCCCGTGATTAAGCTATTGTTGAACTTATCCCTTGTTGTACACACTTTGTGTGGAATCTATGTTTTATCGTATCTCTAGATTCCGTGTGTATTGACTCTTGTGAGATGATGGATTGGATGTGATGCGATGATTGAGCTGGTAAAGTGGACAGTGTGGGGACTTATGCGTGAACTGATCCGGTAGTGGGTTTAAAGCTCTGGATTGCCGTTTGGATACTTATGATTTGTGGGGAACTTGGGAAACTCATTCCAGTTGCCAGAGATAGTAGCTAACCCGTTGAGCTTGGAATCTCAATAGGGGGGGTGTATACACTTAAAGTTACTAGATCTGTTTCCATTGGGCTGCGGTCCTAGTCATTGCGATGACTCTATGATATGTGATTGATGATTTGGAGTCCTCCACACTGGTCCACTATGATTCGGGTCGTCGAGATGACTCTTTGATGTATGCTTCGGTTTGACTATGTCCTATGTGGGCTTGGAACATGTTGTGAGTATGAACCTCGCTTTATTGATTATGAGCATGTCTATGATTAACCCTACCTTGAGTATGGTAGGTAGTATCTATTGTTGAGTATGTCGTTTGTTGTTCTATTGCCTTGTTGAGTATGTTGGCATGTGGTCCTTGTTGAGAGTGAATTGATGAGTCTATTGATGTTTCCTCCCTTGGTTTTAAAATGATATAGATACTGTATTCCTCTGTCTCAAATGGTTTTGCTTATATATATATATATATATATATATATATATATATATATATATATATATATATATATATATATATATATATATTATGATACTTAACACGTATTGGTGGGTTACCAGCATCTTTCGCTGACGGGTGTTATCCCTATCTCTTTACAGGTTTTGAGTAGCTTTGGAGAGCGCGCTAGTGGACCGTAGTAGCCTAGTTTAGCTCCTTATGCTTTTCTAGTTGTTTATGGCATGTGAGTCTAGTTAGCTTAACCGTTAGCTGCTGTGGTTTGTTTAGTAGTTTGCCTGTGCACCTATGTTTGATATAGGTGTGGCATAGCACCTCCGTGTTTAGACGTTGCTTCCGTTGTTTAATGATTAATGTTTAGCTTTACGTCTCTTGTTTAAGATTTTAAATTTTGGTAAAATCGGGGGTATTACAAAGGCGTTTAAAGAAGTCCAATTTGGAGATAAGGAGAAAATAAAGTTCCACGTGGGCTGCACGTCAACGATAACATGTTGAATGTGTTACTTCGGAATCCAATTATTTTTTTTTTTAATTATGAGACTTCATTGTAGTTATAGAGTTCGGATCTATACTTATTTAAGACAATTGTAACTGTACTATTATCGAGATTTAATAAAGCTATAGACGTGTTGTTGCTCAACAGAGACAATTATCTCGTTCAACTTTTATTAATCTTTTCATGATTTGTGTGAGAGAAAGATGAATGCACATAAGGAAGTCCAATTAGGAGAAAAGGAAAAAAAAATTCAAGTGAAATGCAGATCAGTTTAACCTACTAAATATGTTACTTCAGAACTCAATTTCACTATATTTTGATTTAAAACACTTCATTGAGTTTTTTTTTTTTTTTTTTTTCAAACATCATTTTATTATTTAATCGACTCAAGGGTAAATTTCACACTTTTTTTTTAATTTCTAAAAATATAAATTAAGTATTAAAAAAATACACATTACATGTCAATTACTTCAAAATAGTGGTCAAAATTAAATTGTATCACCGTTAAAGTTTTACTAGACATAATATCGAGTTCGATAAAAGAAATTTAAAATTTTCAATTACCCCTATCGATGAAGAAAAGGTAAGTAGTGATACTAAGAAAATACTCCGTAGCTTTAAAAAAAAAAAAAAAATACTAGGCAAGAAAGTTAACGGAGCATTAATAAAGATTTTTTTTTTTTTTTAAAAATGAAGTTTTAGGTCACGTCGGGCAGTTGGTTGGGCAGGGGGCAGCCATGACTCACGGCACGTGACATATGCAAACCACGGTTTTTAACAGGAAAAAAATAAATAAATTAGGTAATTAGTAAAAGAAATATATAAATACGGGGGGCCGTGAGAGACCGAAACAAAGCGTGCTTTGCGCTCGCGAGTGTAGAGAGAGAAAATCCTCACTGTTCATTCCCTTCTTCATCTTCTTCTCCTTCTTCATATACGGAAAGGCGTGAACTTTCCCTTCCAAACGCACAAAAGCCGCTATTGCTATTCTCTCTCTTATCTCCCAGCTTTGAATGGCGACTCGGGCTCACTGAGAACACCGCCGCTCCAAAAGTCGTCGTCTTCGTCTTTTTCTCGAATCGCCGGAGTTTTCATTTCCCGTACGGAACTGCGGAGAAGTTTGGAGTTTTGAAAGTTGCGGAGGAAAATATGGAGTGGCCTACTTATTTGGATGAGTATGAAAAGCTCGTTATTCGCATGAATACTCCTAGGTAAAAGCTCTGCTCCTAGTATTTCTCTTGGTTTTTGCCGGATTTTTTTTAGGTTTCTTGTTCGTATGTCTGCAGATATGAGTTTTCTGGGTTTTTTTATTTTTTATTTTTTTTTTCGAGTAAATTATGGTTAAAATCGATTTTGTTCTGTGGTTTAAGGATTCTAACGTAATTGGCTCTGGGTCTTACTTTTCAAAGGCTTGCTTGACTCTTTCATATTTTATCCTTCCAATCCGATACAATTTTAGAAGTTTTTCTGCTGATCAGTCGTTTTCCAAGAGGACCAAGACCCTATCAAAGTTTTAAAATTTCAAAAATTTTCCCAAAGTAAATGAATTTGAGTCTGACTTGCCCTTCTTATTGCTTTCACAGGGTCATGATCGACAATGCCGGTTGCACCACCGCCACCCGCGTTATGGTGAGCGTCTTCCGCCTTGCTTTTCACGGCACCGTTCACACCGGTCAATCAGTCTTAGAAATGATATATATAGTAAATTAATAAATTATATTATATTTACAAAAAAAAAATGTTTTTTTTTTCTCTCAGATTGATAGTGCGAGAAAGCACGGAATTCTTCTGGAAGCTGTTCAGGTTCTCACGGATCTGAATCTGTCAATCAAGAAAGCCTACGTCTCCTCCGATGGTCGGTGGTTCATGGACGGTGAGCGCAATTTACGGATATCTTTCTTTATTTTGCTATAGTGCGCCGCCGGCGTGGCCCATTCTAGTTAACAGTTTTTGGTTTTGATTTCTCGGATCTTTCCTTAATCATGACGTTTAAGTGTTTAATTTTTTTTTTTTTTTTGGTTTGTTCGTTTACAGTGTTTCATGTTACGGATTTGAATGGGAACAAATTAACTGACGAGAGTGTCATTAAATACATCGAACAGGTAAATTAGTTAGCTTTTAACAGTTTAACGTTAGTAATTAATGATGGTTTGGACTGATTTTGGTTCTGTTTTTGTTGGTTGTGACAGTCTCTGGAGACAATTCATCACTCGAGTTCAAAATGTTTTGATGGGTTGACGGCGTTGGAGTTAACAGGGACCGATAGAATCGGATTGTTGTCGGAGGTTTTTGCCGTGCTGTCTGATTTGCAGTGCAATGTGGTGGAGTCTAAGGTGTGGACTCACAATGGCAGAATCGCGTCTCTGATATACCTTAAAGACTGCGAGTCGGGGTCCCCCATCGAGGATTCTCAGAAGATAGACAGGATCGAGGCGCGGTTAAGGAATGTTTTGAAGGGAGACAACGATATCCGGAGTGCTAGGACGTGCATTTCCATGGCGGATACGCACACGGAGAGGAGGCTTCACCAGATGATGTTTGCAGACCGCGATTACGAGAGGAATAAGGTGGTCGTCCCCGTGGTCTCGGTTTTGAATTGCTTGGAGAAAGGCTATTCTGTTGTGAACATCCAGTGCAAGGACAGAACCAAGCTTCTGTTCGATGTCGTCTGCACGTTCACGGACATGCAGTATGTCGTGTTCCACGCCACGGTGAACACAGCCGGCGACAGAGCATACTTGGTATATACATATGTTCCTTCCTTAACCATTCCATGGGTTCCTTAATTATTGTCTTAACATGTTTGCTCAAGGATGTTTCTTTGTCTGTCTCAGGAGTTCTTCATTAGACACACCGATGGCACCCCGATTAGCTCAGATGCTGAGAAACAACGTGTGATTCTTTGCCTACAAGCTGCTATAGAACGAAGAGCATCCGAGGTATTGGGTTAAGAGTGTATTTTGTCTTTTAACTAAAAGTTTAAAGTGACAACGTGTGCTGACAGTATATTCTGTCTTAACTAAAAGTTTAAACTGACAATTGTATTCTCTCCTTGACTAAATGTAAAAATTCTGTCTTTTAACTAAAAGTTTAAACATGACATATTGCTTGTACTAAATGGTGTTTTATGCGAACAGGGCACGAGGCTTGAGCTATGCACAAGCGACAGACAAGGGCTGTTGGCGGATGTAACACGAACGTTCAGGGAAAACGGGGTGAACGTGACAAGAGCCGAGATATCAACGATGGGAGAAACCGCAACAAACGTGTTCTACGTGACAGATGCTAGTGGGAGTCCAGCAGATCCAAAGATGATCGAGGCAGTTCGACAAAAAGTCGGTTTGGGTGTCTTGAAAGTGAAGGAACTGCCGACGACCAATCAGCAGAAGGCCGAGGCGGAGAAGGAACAACCCGAGATGGGTGTTGGTGGCGCCATGCTACTCTCGCTCGGGAGCATCGTCAGGAGGAATCTCTACAACCTGGGATTAATCAAATCGTGTTCTTGAATTCACGACGAACAACAACAACAAACGACCTCAAGTCCCCTAGGCATTGTTGTACATAGATAGGAGGAGTAGGAAAAAAAAAATTGGGGTTTGGTTAATAGCAGTTGTTACAGTGGGTGGTAGGACAGGTAGACCGGCAACAGGGTAGGTGGGTGAGATTGTGGGGCCCTCCCACGCCCCCCCATTACAATAGCTGTGAAATTTGCGGGGATGGGAAGATAGAAATAGTAAAAAAAACACGAGGAAGTGGGTGAACCAGATTTGGTTTACAGATTTATTGCGACATGGAGGACAGGCTGGCGGTGATACAGCAAAGAATATTGATTTGTACATAGCCACTTTTATCTCAAATTTAATGTTTTGACTTTATTCTTATACAATTTTAACTGTCATGTTCTTCCTCTGGTCTTTTATTCATCTTGTTCCCATGTCTTGGCTTTCTTGTTGGATGATTCTTCATAGATTAAGAATATTCATAAGTGCCAATGACCTTGTGCTTACAGTCAATGGTCTAGGAAGTGGCTCTTTGGTCATGGGTTTGTGGTTCAGGAGGTTGAGTCATGGGTTTGAGTCTTTGTAGTTCAGGAGGTTGAGAAAGTAGTTAAGAACATATACTGTAATACTAAAAAGAAAAAAATGAATGTTCAGAAGTTACACTTAAAAAAAGAAAGAAATAACTCAATGACAAAAAATGTAAATTTTTCTACTATTTCAAAAATTATTTTACGGTTGTATTAAGCTCCAAAAATTCCAAATTTGAGTTACCATTCAACCCTTTAAAGAATGAGCTCAACTAGTTCTTCGGTTACTTAGACAAGGTTTTTTTTTTTTTTTTTTTTTTTTTTTTTTTTTTTTTTTTTTTAAAGAAAAAGAAAATGCGAGTAAGAAAGCATGGCTATGTTCGCTCTAGACATGATCACTTTCATAAAACGTGACAACTTTTAGGATTGACTGAACACATGTCACTTGATAGATTTATTTAAAATTTACCAACCAAGCTATCGGCCTTTAAAATATGTGGAGATTTTGATAGTCATGATCATGAAAACTTAGAGCTTTTATTGATTATAAAAAGTGAGATTTTCAAAAAAGTAAAGTTAAAAATAAAAAATGAAAATAGAAAATCACAACTGGTGCACGTTGCGTGCGGTGAACGCAACTAATTGGTGCGTCCTAGTGGCTTCTCTTTCCTTCTATTTTCTATAAAGACATTTTTTTGTCTTTCTTTTTCTTACACATGTCACTCGATAGATTTATTTAGAATCTACAAATCAAGCTGTCGACCTTTTTAATATGTGGAGATTTTAATTGTCATGATCATGAAAACTTAGCGCATTCCTATTGATTATAAAAGTGAGATTTCAAGAAAGTTTTTAAAAAAATCACAACTGGTGCACACAACTACTTGGTGTGTCCTAGTGACTTTTTTTTTTTTTTTTTTTTTCTTCTATTTTCTATAAAAACATTCTTTGTCTTTCTCTTTCTTACTTGCACATGTTCCTGATAAAAGCCCAATTTTTTCAACAACCATTATGGTTGCTCTTATGTTGTTACTTATAAGTTGAGGTTCACGAGAGCAACGTGAATGCTCCACATTGCCAATTATTGAGAGAGAGGTGTTATTTAGAGTTGTGTTGATAATTAGACCTTTATTTTCATTAGGTTCGAAATAGAAATATTAATTCGGGACCTAAATTGGGAGGATTTCAATATACATGGGACGAAGTTTGACAAAATTAAGTTAATGACTAAATGTGAGAAAATCACTGTAGTCGAAGAACTGTTTTTGGGATTAATTCATAGTTATAATTAGTGTTGTAAAAATTGCCCCTGGAGTTAGCATATACGCTAATTTTCCCTGGAATCTAGAATGTTTGCAAAGAAAATCATAAAATTCATTTTGTTTATATCACCCCCAATACTTTTCAAATTTTGCCTTCATGTTTTTCCCCATAAGACTCACAAACCTATCAGCCCCTACCGTGCCATTCAAATGGCAGTATAAATCAGATATCTTAGCCAAAAATGTGTTAGATAAAGATCCAGAAATTCTGACAGTCATATCATAAAAACATTTCAATAACTTAACCAAACTCTGCACAGAATCCTAGTCAATAAAATCAGGAATAGAATCACCCAAGTCAGATTTGAAAGAAGTATCAGATTCTTCATAAGCTTCAAAGACTTTTTGGTAAGTCAATGTAGATTGTAACATCAAATAAGTAGAGTTTCATCTGGTTGGAACATCTAGACACAAAGAAAATCTTTGTTCATTCCTATCAAATCAGACAAATCCCTATACTTCTTCAGCCTAGCAGGTGAATTTCTAACATATCTCACAACCTCCCTGACCTTCTTAACAGAAATGTCACTCTTTCAAACCATCTTGCACAACCAAGTTCAGGATATGGGCAATGCATCTCATGCGAATATACTTAGCCCTCACATTAGATGTTCCACAAGACAAAAATTTTTTCTTTAAAAACCCCATAGCAGTGTCATTAGATGAAGCATTGCCAACAGTAACACTAAAGACATTCCTAAGCCCCCCACTCTAGCAACGACATTTCTAGGGCTTTTGCAATATATTCACCTTTGTGAGAGGTAGCATGGACAAATGAGATGCTTTTTTTTTTTTTTTTTTTTTTTTTTTTTTTTTTTTTTTTTTTTAATGAAGCTTCACTCTTCATCTATAAAATGTGCAGTGACTACCATGTAGTTAATCATTTGAATAGATGTCCAAGAGTTAGTTGCAATACTGTCCCTATGACTGTTTCCACTTAAAAAGCTATTTAATTTCAGTATCTCTTCTTCATAAACCACAAAGATGTCCCTACTTATAGCCCATCTAGATGGAACTTTAAACCTAGGGCAAGCAACTACAATGAAACCTCCTAAATCCTAGTCCCTCGACAAATCTAAAAGGTAGTCATCTATAATTATCATTTCAACCAAGGCCCTCCTAATAGAATCTGATTAAAAACCCAGGTTCCTATCTCTCCCATAGTAGATTGGGGTGAATCAGAGGTAGTAACAACTTGAAATGTTAGAAGGGACTACCTAGTATCCCTAGAGTGAGGATTTTACAAACAGCTCAACATGTGGTTTTTTAAGGATGATGTACTATGTTTTTTTTTTTTTTTTTTTTTAGTAACACCATTACTATCAGAAATTCTTTCAAAATGATCTCATACTTTGGATATGGCATCAACCTGTTTCCTTTTCTTCGTAGGAACTGCAGTAGGAGGTTGCACATTCTGTTGATTATTTGGGTCAACTGTTTGGGCTTCCATTCACTATAGGTCCCTCACTTGAAGAATTGGAAGGTTGACTACCAGGCATACTGATGATATTTTCCATCTAAAAAAATTGATAACTATCAGTACACATAGTAGGATACATATTCAAGAATCTCAGACAGTCAGACATTTAAAAAAAATATTGCATATGACCACATAAACATACAAATCATGAAAGCAAATCTAGAATCAGACACTTGTTTGTGTCATCATTTTTCAAGAATACATAATTAGGGACTTCAATTAAGGGCATAACTCCATAAACATACAATACAAAGAAATACAAATTATGGGATTTGATTTCACTTTCCAGGCCCTTATACAGTTATACAGTTCATGTTCATCATTATCTGGATTTCACACTTAGGCGCTTCCACCAATATATAGAAATTTCACATTTAACTATTTAAGCTTTTAAGGGACATTTTAATTTTCAACCATAATATATCACAATATATGAACAATATATCACAAAGCAACCAACACTTTCTCAAACTAGGGTTTGCGATTCACACTAACATGACACTGCTTCCACCAATCAGAGTATCAAACAAATCACAAATTCATAATATATCACAAAATATATCATAAATTCATAATATATCATAATAAATTGAATAAATCAAATTTATAAAACTAGGGTTTGCGATAAACAGTGCTTCCACAAGAATATATTACAAAATTGTCAAATAAATTCACAATATATCACAAAAGATATCACAAATTCACAATATATGACAATAAATTGAATAATTCAAATTTATAAAACTAGAGTTTGCGATTTACTTCGTTTCTCCCAAATACCCTGTAGAACAAGGGCTTCTTTGAACACTAGTCACCACGAGGTCCACGACACCACCACTCCACCAGTGGGGCTTCTACCACTCCAACAGAACCAACGGTCACCGGACGATCGGAGAATCGGAGATGAGTGTCTTAAAGAGTGAGGCAATAGAGAAGTAGAGAACGAGAGGAAGAAGAGAACAAAGTATAGAGTAGAGAGAACTCAGAGTCTCTGAGTTTTAGAATCCTAATTCAATTAAGGGATTAATTAAGTAATTAATCCTAATCCAATTTGTAATTTAACTCCCTAAATTCCTGAAAATTCAATAGTCGGGGACTAGTAATTGACTAGTCAACCCAAAGTCAAGTGTTGTACCTAAAGCTTTGTGAATAGTTCCCTTGTTCCCTTACACTTTTCATCTTAGTAAGGGTAAAGAAGACATTTTCCTTGTAATGGTATTCCAAGCTAACCTAGGAGACACATTTCATTTCTTCCCAAACACTTTCCAAATCATAAGCTCTTCCTTCTCTCTAAAAGTCTAGCTAGCTTTCTCTCCAAGCTAAGTCTAGGGTTATCAAGATCTCCATAGTTTGTCTTCAAGATTCCACATTTCTTACTCTTGAGCATCTAGGAGGGTAAGATCTGTGCTCCTTTTGTGTTTTTAGTGTTTTCTAAGGTATCTTTTTCTAAAGGTGAAATCTTTATGATCTTTTGGTGTGTTCCTGAAGTGGGTGTGGAAAGGGAACCTTATTAAGAGCTTTGTGAAATGTTTAAAGTGAAGGTTGAGTCTTCAAGAGGTAACCCATGCTCAACAAAATCTATTTTGCTTACTTATATGATGATTTATTGGTTTCTATATGTGATTTTGCTATGAAATGTGAGTGTTTATGCATTGTCTTGTGAAAATGCATATCTAGAGCTTGTTATTAGGGTTTATGTATGCCATAGCTTGGCTATTCCTTTGATTGAAGTCATTTTGTTGTATTTGGTGAGATTTGGCATGTTTTGGACTTGAATTTGCGCTTGGTGTTGAAAATCCCCGAAGGGATAACTTGTGGTACGGAGGTGTACCCGCGGGCGGAACGGCGGGTAGGCGTCCACCCGCCGCCCCACCTGCGGGGAACATGGCGTGGGAGTTTGGTTCCCGCGGGCGGAACCACAGGTGGGGGTCCACTCGTGGCCCCACCTGCGGGTACGTATTTTGGTGTTGGGCAGGGATTTGTTCCCCGTGATTCTTTTGGCTCGGTATTCAATGTTTTGACTTCCCGATGTTCTTTTGTGGAACTATTTGAGTGTCTTCTTGATGTTTCGTATGTCCAGA